ATACGCGCACCCTTTGCATATACTTTTTGAGACGGCTAAACGTTACACTTAATAGAATCCCCTGTTTACACATCCACCCCCCATTCATTAATGCCATGACAGAACTGGACACGCTCGCGAAGAAGGATGATTTTTGGTTTGGGAGTTCGACTCTCTGTTGAACTGGCATGATACACATTTCTTCATCTCGACATGCATGAATTGATTCTCACTATCTTACTTTTCTTACTCCATAATGTGTCAATCTGATTTATGAAGGCATGCTTAGATGATGACCTGGGAGACAGGGGTCTGTCCTATATAAGGCTTGGAGGGGCTCCTAGATAGAAAAGAACTTAGATCTGTAAGATTATGGAATGGACACTTGACTCCTTTTTCAATGGCCTTATCTTAGAAACGCTCCTCATTTACCAAGACATATCGATAGCGCGGGTTTCCCTTCTCAAAATCGACAATTGCCTTATTTGCGTCGCTCATTGGCCGTATTTCTATCCAAGGTCTGATCTGTTTTCTCACAGCAAGATCAAGCATGCTTCTCATTTCAGCTGGTGATCCATTGACAGCGCCAGCTATGCTGAGTCCCTTGAAGAGAACAGTCAATGCACTGATCGGAGGAAAACTCCCACCATCATGAGCACTATTACGATCATATTAGCCCTTTCGATCAGGTCAGAATGTTTTGATGCTGCAAACACAAACCCAAGCTGGACTAGAGTGCCTCCGACCTTGAGAAGCTTCAGGTACTGGTTGAATGGCATATCATCGCTAGATGCTGTGCAAAGAATGAGATCCAGTGATCGATTGTGCTTCACAGCCCATTCTGGGTCTTCATCCGTTGCTATATAATCATGAGCACCAAATGCGAGGGCATCAGCTCGTTTTGATGCCCTTCTTGAGATACCCATAACCTTATCAGCGTCCAGGGCACGCGCAAACAGGACACCAAAGTGCCCAAGACCTCCAAGGCCAATAATTCCGACAGTCTTTCCAGGCCCACATCCATGTTTCTTCAAGGGCGCATACATGGTAATGCCAGCACAGAGCATTGGTGCTGCAACCTCGGATGCTAAACCATCAGGGATTCTGAAGACGAAAGTACCAGGTGTGCGATTGTAGTTCGAGTATCCACCATAGGATATCCCTTCGCCGTTTGGATACACGGCTCCGTAAGTGCCGATTGCCTCGGAGCAATAGTTTTCCTGGCCGTTAGAGCATTCAGGGCAGTCTGGTCGACAACAGCTTCGAGCTTGCGGGCCTACTCCTACACGATCTCCGACCTTTATATGGGTCACATTGCTACCTACGCGAACGGCTTTGCCTACGATCTCATGGCCCACACAGCAGGCTAAAAAATGCATTGTTAGTGGACTCTTATTTGTTGAGAATAGACTATCGAATTGCACCTACGGTACTGTGTCTGGCTCCAAGCAGATCGAAGGACATGAAGGTCAGTTCCACAAACGCCACAATGAGTGACATGAATGTCAACATCGTCTTCGCACCAGATCTTTGGTTGAAACGAGCCCCAAATCATTTTTCCGTTTGCAGCTTCTGCATTGTAGCCAAGCCAGCCCTCAAAATCGTTGTCATTCGTCATTGCATTAAATCTCCCGATGAACCAGAGGTTACTGGGACCCGAAATCTAATGAATTGCAAATCCAAGGTTAAATGAGCCTTTTGAACGGTTTAGTGCGAAGATACCGAACAGTTCATTGCTTATTTTCTTAGTCCATTTTGACGAAAGGTTCTACTCTGGTTATATAGTCACAAATCGGTGGATTCGAGTTAGATTTGGTTCCGCGGATTATGTGACGGCGTCCGTGGACAGTTTGCAGCGATATGTATCTCAGTTGTCGTGTCGTTCCGTAAATCAAACTGCTCTCATACAGAATAGCTTGGCATAAACTCCCTAGTAGCCTCTTACCGAAAGGTTTACTTCAATGTTCGACGTCAGTAGGAACAAAAGCTTGGGGTAGCTACGCATGTAGCTCTTCTTGTTTCTTCCACTTTTGAATTCTGTCTTTGGACTAAAACTAACCTAGTTCTGATTGCTCTCTGTTCTTGATAGTCTTGGCCTCAAAGAGTATATACTAGTTTTGTGCCACTAACTTTGTAGGCTCGAAGTTCATCTAAGCCCTTCATCACTCCCTCCAGACCGACTCCACCTTTGTTCACCGTAGGGCTGATTGGCTTTACCACTCCCTTATCTAAGAGGCTATAGGTCAAGTCGTAGAACATCATTGCGAATTCCATTTCTTCCAACTTTGGTTGCACGTAACCACCCAACATCTCGTACTCAAACGGTTCGGCAAAACAAGCATAGCCCAGTGTATACAATGGCCCTTTCACCTTTGGATTCGTGGCTAATAGTTCCACCTTAGTTGTGGAATTGATGGCGCCATAGAGTCCAGGTTCAGCATCACTGAGTGCCTCAGCGCTCAGCGTTTCGCCGCCCCCAGCGCAATCCCATGCGTATGTAAGCTTGTTTTCAGTAAGTTTACGGATTTTGGCGCCAGTCGTGGGCGATCTGTAGTCGAAGACTGCATCAGCACCAACCGATTTGACTAGTTCAAAATTGGATGGCGAAGCAGTAGCAATGACGGTGAGACCGGATGCTTTAGCAAATTGGATAGCCCATAATCCTGTTGCTGTACTTCCTCCGTTGATTAGAATTGGGTACGGTTTGGTAGCGGGGGAACCTGGTAGGGGAAGCTTGAGAGATTTGTAAAGTCCTTGCCCCTAATAAAGTCAACTCAGGAAATAACGCAACATAACCCCTCAGAAACGTACACAAGTTATGACTGAGACACCCATAGTAGCTGCCTGTTCAAAACTAAGGTGATCTGGAATATTCATCTGAACGGCTGCTTTCGCTATTACATATCCAGCAAAAGCGCCGGTTTCGTGGTCGAGCCGGTTCCTGTTAATGACGTGTCAGTCCTATTCCGAGGCCTCATAGTATTCGTTACAACACGCACCCGCCGTGCACGTAACCCGCAATTCTATCTCCCTTCTTGAATTTTGTGACCTTGCTTCCGACCTCTTCAACAATACCTGAGTAGTCGCAACCGATTCTCGAGCCTGCGTCTGCGTAGCCCCAATCGATATGTCTCCAGTCAGTGGGATTTAGGCCCACTGCCTTGACCTTGACAAGTACCCATTCATCGCGAATCTTTGGGACAGCCACATCGGATATGGCAGCGGTCTTCTCTTGGGGAAGAACTACTATGGCTTTCGTAGACGCCATATTTGTTGTAATTCTTAATATTTTCCCAGCAACACGTTAGAGGTGTACTAAATGAACCATCCGATAACCAAGATAACAGAAGACTAAACAACAATCATTACATTTTGAGTTCTGAAAAAGAATATGTTGGGCTTTATATTCGTTACAATGCCTTTGAATTTTTCAATAGAAGTTTCCGTGGCAAGACCAAGGCGACACAGACGAGTATCTAGCGAGGGCATGCATCTTGTCTCAGAGAACCCAACACTCCGTACGATAGCCTGATGACATATCATAAGTACATTGACTGCACTGACACAGCATTACGAGTGAATTGCCCCTACAAAAAGTCTCAAACTTGCTGTTCCGTGGAAAATTGTCCGTGGAAAATTGTCCGTGGACAAAATGGCATTACATTATGACATACTTACAGAGCGAGCTCGCTTACTACTCAACCAAGTACGCTGCTGTATTTAGGACAGGCTACTTTGGGTGACCCGGGCGATATTAGCTTAGCCATCAAAATCTTAGTAGTAAGTAAAGGCTAGCATCTATATGATATATCTTAGATCTGTGACACTAATATAGTATAAGCAAAGTTTTTTTCTAATTTACTAGTTACTTATAATGATGTAATAGCATCTATAATATTATCAAACTACTAATTCAGTATTGCCCTAAGGACCTGGATCTGCTCTAGAATACTTGATCGACTAGTACCACCTTTAGCTGATCTCGACTCAACGCTTGTCTCATAGTCGAGAATATGTGTGATGTCATCCGTGAATCGATCATCAATAGCCTTGAGTTGTTCAAGTGATAGTTTATCTATCGGGATACCCAGCTCCTCACTCTTTGCAACCACTCGTCCTGAAATATGATGTGTCTCGCGAAAAGGCACACCTTTCCTGACAAGGAAGTCAGCAACGTCTGTAGCGAGAAGAGTCGGATCTAGTGCAGCTAGCATCCGTTCTGGTCGAAGAACAAGTGTGGAGAGAATGCCATTTGCGATCAGTACACTATCAGAGATAGTCTTAACATGGTCTAGCATAGGTTCCCAGCTCTCTTGGAGATCTTTGTTATACGTAGACGTTAAAGCCTTGCTTGTCATCATGAAACCAGCAAGTTGACCAAAACAGCGCCCCGATTTGCCACGGAGTAATTCGAGCCCATCTGGGTTTTTTTCTTTAGCAACAGTGTTAGCTCCCTTGCGCTTCAGTTCTAGTGAATAACGAGGCTTAAAAAGAAGGGGCATATACTTTGAGGCATCAAACTACTACCCGTACTGTAGGCGTCAGCAATACTGACGAAGCCAAACTCAGCCGAGGAGTATAAAATCAAGTCCTGGCTCCAGTTCGAGATATGCCCCATGAACATAGCGCCCCATTGAAGGAACTCAGTGACAAAATCCCTACTGGATACAGCTCCCATGGAGTTCCAGAGGATACCATCGAAACCGAGCTCCTTAGCCATCATATCGCGATCAATATTAAAGGCATTACCGGCAAGAGCGCCACAACCAAGTGGACTAATGTTTCCATGTTAGTAAGACCAGAGCGTACATACTGCCATGCACAGAGGTACCTACCTCTTGTTGACACGTTTCAAGGTCTCCCGCAGACGCTCTAAGTCACTTGCAAAGGCAAAGCCAAATGACAAGAGCCAGGCGCTGAACCTTACAGCCATCGCGCGCTGGAGATGAGTATATCCTGGCATAATATGGTCGCTTTCAAGGTTAGGGAGGTGATTCCCGATTAGGTAGATGATGCTAGACTTACATATCAGACTCCGCACGTGCGATAATGACCCGAAGGAAGGCAACCAGTTGTTTGTCGATCTCATATATCCGCTCGCGCAGCCACATACGCATATCACAGACAACTTGCTCATTTCGGCTACGACCAGTATGTAGCTTGCCTGCAATAGCCTTGCCAATGATTTCTCCCAGCCGACGCTCATTAGCAGTATGAATCTGGACTCTCATTACATTAGCCGTCTTGAATAAATTGAGTAGATCAAGAGGTTTGGGTAGCGCCTCACATCCTCATCATTAGGCCTTATGGTGAAGGTATCTGTATCCCACTCCTTCAGGACCTCCCAGAGACCTCGCTCGATCTCGATAAATTCGTCGTCGGAAATGATACCAGACTTTGCATTTGCGCGGGCAAAGGCAATACTACCAAGTATATCTTCCTTATATAGGAGCTTGTCATACGAAATACTTGCGTTATACTTATGCATGAGGGGATCTATACCGCCTGTTATCCGCGAGGTGAGTCAGAATACAGCGCCCGAAGCTTGGTCGCGGAGAGCTGCCAACCTGTAAAGCGCCCACCCCAGAGCATACCCTCTGCGGGAGCATTCGCGTTACTAGTGGCCATCAGGTGCTGAGGGCGAGTATCGAGTATAGCGATGGAAGAATTCGCCGCCTTTCAAAGAATTAATGGTATCTGAGACGGAGGAGCTGACGAAAATTTGCTGCTTGGCTTAGCTTGGGTCGGAAAAACTTAGTGAGCCGACCACACGCTCCCGACTCACGTGATACTGCTGTCGCCTGACATGGAAGGTTGGTAACTTCTTCCATTGCAAAAATTCCATCTGCAAAAAAGACCACTCTCGTCTCTTCTTCTGCTCTTCCATTTCTTAAAAAATTCCTCCTCGTCATCCCCATATACTTCATTTCCTTTCCATTCTTGTCCGAACTTCACGCGCTTGGATTTTTTAACCATGGGAACAGCCAAACCGCCTAAGAAAGCACTGCGACGTCCCATCCATGGGCCGAGCGCCAAGAACGCCGAGGCCGCGCTTGAGCCCAACCATGCGACCCCCTCAAGCACTGGCTAAGGCTACGGCTGGGACACACCGGAGAATCCTTTCCATTAACCCTTGCCAGAGCTTATGGTATTGTGTTCCCTGAGGATCGGAAGCTGACCCTTGGAGCCCATGATGCTGGGGTCGATGTTATCATGGCATATCGACTCGCCTTAGCATACCTTCTACAGGCTTTAGATATGCCTCTACCTGGGAAGATTGACTCCTTCTTCACCTCTACAGCAGACAGTAGTCTAAGTGATTGGAAGATTGACGATGAGAAGGCTAACGCCCTTCTCAAACGTCTTCAGAAAGCTGGTTCTAGCATGAACATGAGCCAGGTCGCTAGCGATGATGCGGAAGTCATGAGCGATAATGAGGAGGAAGAAGAGCAAATGAGCGACACCAATGATATCAGGAGCAATGATGAGGAAGATGAGGAAGCCCAAGTAATGGGGTGATATCTAAAGTAAACACTAGCTCAGCAACAGCGATGAGACAGAGACATGCAGGCTGTGTGATGATCACCTGTAGACGATGGGCTTGTCCTCTGTTAAAAATCTACTTAATCACAATTATCGTGAGCAGTTTCGAGACCTCAGTCAACCCAAGAGCCTAAAGTGATCCTATAGCAACGAGGCTCACCCAAGACGCCTCATTGGTTCAAAAACAGTGAGCCGAAGTATCTCCGTCTGCAAGTCTGTCATATTGGCGCCAACGATTGCACTAACATGGTCGCCCCACATTCGTGTGTTGGATGCTGTTCAAAAGTAAAGCGCCCACAGTGCGACGACTCAGTAAATAATGATCTGCCGCGGCCAGGGTGCACCTTTAGCTTTGCATAGCAAGTAGCACGCACAATGAATGCCATGAGAATCAGACCTAGAGAATCAGCTCGGCTAGCGCGGTGCTGCTACGGATATCGTTGCCAATTATCCTTCGAAGTCACTGGTGGTCTTAGTTGACGTATAATAATTTGGCCCGCGAAGTATTAGTCATGGTGGTTGTGACATCATATTTGCCAACATTTGTATCTAAGCCCGTCACTGGAATCGGCATTGCCTCGACCAAGCAATCTCTAAAAGGCAACACAAAAACAAAATGAACATCAATGTTCCAAAAATCGTGAACGCCGCACTTGGAGATGATGCGAAGAATCGCAATGTTCGAGTCATCTCCGACAACATGAACAGGGGCATTCAAAATGACCCTGGCTTTCTCTCCAAAGACTTCCCGAGAGCGTCCCCTAAACTCTACTTCACTGCAGAGAGCGATGATTTTGACGAAATCACACTTGCGGAATGGAGAGACGAAGGCTTCGATGTTGGATATGTTCCTATGGGAAATGATATGGACGACTACAGACGCCGCCTTGAGACTCTCAGCAGGAAACGTCTGGGGCCTTGCGAAACATTTGGAATCGTTGGTAGGTGACGCTGTTCTCTATTCTAGGATGGCCAATTCATTTGCATTCCACATATCGGTGCTCAAGTGCTTGCGATTTATTCAAACGCCTATCGGATGGGAACTTGCTGATAGATTCGCTCTAGCTTATGGAGACGCGGCGGCATTCTGTTTGGAGCATTACCACATCATGGACAACAACCCAGAGTTTAAACTTGGTCTTCTAGTTGCGTACTATCCAACATCAATCCCCGATCCGAAAGGTCGCTTTCCTTCAAGCATTCATGCCCTCGTTCATTTGACGGGGGATGACATTGGCGTAATTCATCAGAGTCAGATGGTCGGCATCCAGGGCAAGAGGCGACTGATTAGAAGGAAGCTAGACCGAGGCTTGGGCACAGGTCGCACACTTCAACTTGCCTATCCCAGCTACAAGTATAACGCTGATCCAGGGTTCGCCGAGCATGATCTTGAAGAGTACGAACGGATTAGCGCTGAGTTGGCCTGGTCTCGGAGTCTAGCAGCCGCGCGAGACGCTTTTAAAATGTATGTGAACTTAGAGTTGGTTCTCGAACAAAATGTCCAAGGTAAGCTCCATTCTTTCTCCTGGACAAAGACCTTTTCCACGTCTGACCATGGCTTCTAGGCAAATTCTTCACCCGCAATCTCCGGGACACATTGTCTACTTATACAACCCATAAAGAACCTCATGTAACTCACATACCGACTTTGACCGGTGGTATTGGAATCAATGAGCTGGAAAAGTTTTATGCCCAATTCTTCATTGCTAATTACCCCCCATCAATGCTCTTAACTCTGTTGTCCCGAACTATCGGCACGGACCGTGTTGTCGACGAGATTCACGTTCGGTTCAAGCACACTCATGAAATGCCTTGGATTCTCCCAGGAGTTCCAGCCACCAATAAGAAGGTTGAGATCATAGTGGTTAGCATTGTCACTTTGAGAGGAGGCAAGCTCTACCATGAACACCTATATTGGGATCAGGCCAGCGTTTTGTTCCAGGCTGGCCTTTTAGACCCCAAGCTTATGCCAGAATCAGCCCAAAAGCTTGGTGTCGAGAAGTTGCCGGTTGTAGGGAGAGCGGCAGCGAGAAGGCTGCTAAATGGCCTGGACGCCGATGATGAGGGTGAGGCTGATAATGCCTTGATTCCTGATTGGGACGGAGATATTAGCAGCGGGCAAAGCGGGGATAAGGACCAGGGGACACAGAATGTTAACGCAGAGTAAGCAACGGTAGTATGCACTGGAGAGCACTCGGCAGGTTTGATGTGTAAAATGGTCGCTGGGAGCACAAATATTAGCATATGCCAGGCCGTTCCGCAATCAACCGTGAGGTTAAATCTTATTTGTGTATCTCAACTATCTACTGATAAGTTCTTTTTGGACCGATGGCGGGCATGTCGATATCCTCTGGTCCTAGTTCCCAGCCCTGACCACGGTAACGATGTGGCCATATGCCATTTCGCCCAGGTGATAGGATGCCATTTGGATCCAGAGCGTCTTTGATAGTTTCGTTGAACCGCAATAATGCTTGGTTATTCCAGCTATATGTCCTCGCTATCTGGTCAGCAAAAAGGAGATGAGTTCGGTACTCTCCAAATCCCCTTTCGGCACATTCCGATATCATTTCCCTCATTAGTTGGATAGCACGTAACTTCATGTTATTGTCCGTTCTATCATAGATGATATTTGCGATATAATGCATCTCTCGACCCGCCACGCAGAGCGTAGTGAACAGGTCAAATCCATGCCTGGCATATGCTTTGCGTATTATTTCGTGCACTGTCCTGGCATCGGTTCCCCTTGTCGGCACAATAGGCGAGAAGTCAAGATGTGCCCCGTTGGGCATCCAGTTGAGCCAATTTAGCTCCGTGAGGACGGGCACACCGCTGCATACAAGGGCTCGGGAGTGAAGAGCGTGATGAGAAGGAACGTCATTGGGTAAGAAGAAACGCATTCCTTGAATTCGAGAGAAAGACTGTTTGATGACTTCTAACTGCTGGGAAATTGACTCCGTGGTGCCGTATTGCGTTCCGTAAAAGACCCAAGAGCATTCTCCCAGTGGAAGTTTCTTAGCAGCAGCTCTGATTTCCTGGGGCGTCATTGGATCAGGAGAGTTGTGGAATGAGGATTTGCGGCGACCTGTGATGTTTAGTTCTTGAATGCAGTGGCGCAATTGCGGAATGTTTCCTAAGATTCGTTGTTGAGCCAAAGGACGGATGATATCAACAATCTGCTCAAAATCGTCCTCATTAGCAAATGTTAGGCAGTAGGACTGATGTTTCGTTTCCGGCATTAGGTGAAAGCCCATTTTCGTCACTATTCCAAAGTTGCTCTGGGAGAAGATCCCATCAACTGAAGGACCATAGGCATTTTGGAAAGACTGCCAGGTTGGGTTGTCGGAACCGTCTGGTCCCGGCATCGCGCCCATTCCAGTCCGAAGGAGCTCTCCATTTGGCAAGACGATTTCCATACCACATCGCATGGCAAAATGGTCTCCGTATGGTGTATATCCGACACCTCGATCGATTGCATTCCCCAACAAACTCCCTCCACCGAGATCTGGACAGTCAATCCATAGCGGAAGCCTCCTAGTCTGGATTTCTTCATAGAGTCTGAAGTAAGTGACTCCAGGCTCTACAAGACAGCTTGCGTTTTCTACATCGATGTTGAGAATCTTATGCATTCGTTTGCCAAGGTCTAATACTACTGATCCTGGCACCCGTGGCGCCGCTCCTCCGTATCCGAGGTTGCGCCCTAATGAGATGGGATATATTGGGATAAGGTGCTTATTGGCCCATTTGACAATGATTTGAACCTCTTCCGTGGAGCCTGGGCAAACCACTGCACTGCTCACCATCTCTTCTTGATCCACGACATGCATAGCATCATGTGTCTTAGGATGTTCTAAATACCACCCGTCGATGAGGGCTCCATCAGTGATAGAAACATTTTGTAGACCAAGGGCATCCGACAATTCGCAGATGGCGGCTTCGAATGCGTCTAGGGAAATATTTGGGGGCAAACGAATTCCTCTCTTACGAGAAGAGCTCTCTGGCTCTGTCTTGTTCTTATATAGGCTTGCCTTCACTGCAGCCGCTTGCGCAGCCAGACGCGTCGGTCCGCCGCTGTAAACGGCATCGAGACTCGGAGGTGGCCCCGGAGAAGACGGCGCTGCCATAGTAAATGCTGAGATATTTCGCTCCCTGAAATTCAAAAAAGATACATAATAAATCTTTGGGTTGAAAAGAATATAGAGGAGACATGTTACATATTAGCGAACTTTCCGAGTGAGTCCTTACGCAAACACCGGGACTTATAGAATGGCCGGCACTAGAATGCTTCAAACCGGCGTACCCCCAACTCGCTCCTAGAGATTTGCGCGGGGTAATCGTGCATCTAGTTCCGGCAATTGCAAACTTACGTCAAGGGCAGTGCCATGAATATCGCTGGCGCCGACCCCGCTTGAAGTTCGGCGCGGCGTTCGGAAGACCGGGGGGGAACATCGGGGCTATATCTGTTCCCGGCTGCCGTCCAGATTTAATCGTGGGCCGTACTGGTTCCTCGACGGCCGTTGCCTTAGACTGATGAAATATCATATCAGGGAAATTAAGAGACATTTTTCCATGCTTGGTGGCTTGTGCTGGTATCGCATAGTATATGATTGATGCTTGAACAATGCCCAAAGGTATTCAAGGTAGTACAGTCCTAGCTACCAGCTGACATTGTTCTAACCCGTGCTAGTTATTGTTATTGGCGCAGGACTCGGCGGTTGCGCGTGTGCTCTAGCTCTAAAGCATCATGGCCATTCCGTGGTTATCCATGAGAAATTAAAGACCTTTCGTCGTTTAGGCGACTCGCTTGGATTCGGCGAGAATGCGCTCAAATTGTTAGCTAGATGGGGTGGCCAGGAGTTGTACCAGGGACTGACAAGTATTGGTAACCAGGCTGCTGATATGCAAATACGAAGGTGGGAGGATGGAAAGATCTTGGCACAACAACCATTGATGGACATGGCTGGGTATATTGGCCACCGGGGAGATTACCACAAGGTGCTTCTAAAAGCAGTGCGTGATGCTGGAATTGAGATCCATATGGCTTCTGAAGTTATTGCTTTCGACGAAACTAAACCAAGCGTATTCCTCGCAGATGGCCGCGAAGTGTCGGCCGATATCATCGTTGGGGCTGACGGAATCAAGTCAAGAACCCGTGAGCTTGTTCTTGGATTCACGGATAGCCCCAAGAGCAGCGGGTATTCTTGTTATCGAGCATATTTCCCGGGTGAGCACCTGAGAGAAGACCCTCGTTGCCGGGAGTTTGTCGACCATGATTGCGTGAACATATGGTACGATGTCACGATCGCGATATCCTAGCACATAACTCTTTTATTAACTTGAAAATAAGGATAGGAGTAGATACCCATTTAGTCCAGAACACTCTCCGTGGTGGTAAAGAGTTTAACTGGATAATCACACGAAAGCTTTCTCACGAAGCTGACATGGAAATTAAGGAATCATGGTTCCAAGAGGGTGATATGGATGATGTTCGAAAGCTTATAACGACTTTAGATCCCAGAATTGCAGCGGCAGTTGAGAAAACGACTTCTTGCTTGGACTGGAAAATTTGCTATCGCGATCCTCTCCCAACTTGGGTGTCAAAAAGCAACAAGATTGTTCTTCTTGGCGACAGCTGCCATCCTCATCTACCCACTAGTGCTCAAGGTGCGAGCCAGGCAACAGAAAGTGCAGCCATCTTAGCGGTATGTTTGAAACTAGCAGGCAGAGACAACGTTGCCCTCGCGGTATGCTTTCCTTCTCAAGTTGATCTATTCCAAATTCATTGAGATATTGATCTTGCCAGACTCGAACTTATGAGAAATTGCGATTTGCTCGTACTAGACAGAGCCAAAGAAACGGCGAGGATCTTAGGGATAGGTGGCACAATGCCCTCAAGGACGCTGATGTGGGCGTGACTATTGATCCAGAGTCTGTCAAGATGCGGAACAGGTGGCTATATGCGTATGACGCCGAGAAGGATGCATGGGATCGCTGGGGAGAAGTATCATCTACTGTCAGAGACCAGCTTGCCAAAGGGATAATAGCCCCCTTATGTGATCAAGAGGGGAACCCACTCTAAACATTTGGATGCTATAGATAGTGAGATTTTTCACTCTTTATCTTATCTGGAAATCAATCCAAGAATCTACATTGTGGACTCCAAATGGGAATGCGTGAGATCCTAGACTATCACATCTGGAGTGCCTCGAGCCAAGTTTTATGATGCACTGATTCTAGAGACCGTCGGACTTTCAAAAATCGCGCTCAAAGAGTTTCAGCTCGTAATAGTCTGTTAGTACAGAGCAACGCTTATTTAAGACCGCAGAATATTCGGCCAGCTTCGGAGTTCTGGCTTCGTGGAACGTGTCTTACCGACCCCTGTTTATGATACCTTGCCGGTGCCTGGTGGGGCGACTTCCGCTGTTCACTGCTGCCAAGAACAGCAGAGCAGAACGACACCTGACTATTTTACTTCAACTTGCTCGCCTGTTGGACAGAGTATCGGTCAATCAAATCGATTTGCTATCTTTTGGGGTGTGCACTCTGCCCGCTCAAAACACAGTCGCATCTTACTCAGGTGAACCCTCCGTGCTAAGCGGCCGCTCGGGCGGAATTCCTTGCGAAAGTGGATCTTCATTGCCGCTCTTAGGGAATTAGCCAGGCTCCTTCGTATGCACTGTACTTTATGTTGGCTTCTCACCAATCTCATTCTAGAATTTGGTCACAACCTGGCCCATTTCATAGACATCATCCAAGCGCGAGTTTTCGTTTTCGAATATTCTAATCATGGCTGATCTTCTCTTGGCGGCAGAAATGCGCCGCATCCGTGCTCCTTGCTAGTGTGAGGGTATAAATACATGTCGTCCACAAAAAATGAGCCTTGCTGTCCATTAGTCGCTTCATGGTTTTTGGTTTGGCCTGCTCTCAGTCCACATTATTTTACCCCTTCTTGCTTGGCGAGGCTTTTCAAAATGAATACTCGAGTGAGGCCATTGCACCTTCTTTATTTCTTCGCCCTCAATCTTACTCATGGAGCTTCTAACCGTCCAATCTGTGAGGAGATAACTTTCAATGTCGATGCAGCTGCCGAGCATATGGACTGGGATGCTACACCAGGACCTGATGACGAATTGGGTCATGTTCGATTCTTGGGCGACGCTCTAGGCCTCG